CACTGCAGATGATGAAAGCTTTCAAGAAGATGAATTCCACTAAGAGCAGGAAAAAGAGATCTAAATATCTGGAAAGAACTGCAGTAAATTCACTTGGGCTCTTTCAAAATGATGCTCTATTAGTCCATGCAACTATGTCCTGGTGCGTGATTGTGAACCAAAATTTCAGCTGGATCTAGGAACAGGAGGACATCTGCCACTTGGCAAAGAGCACATGGCTGAACAAGCTATAGCTCCTGCATCCATTTTGGCAGCTGTAAAGATCCATCAGGAGATATGTTGATGTTAGAGCTTCTGTTATCACTTGGACCTCACACACCTCTCAGCTGGCCCCTGCAGCAGCTCACCCACACCTCCCTGATACCCTGTGTGGTGCCACGGCCCTGTAAAAAGGCCCTGGGGACCTGTGATACCCTGGCAGACTACAACACCCTCCTGCTGTCCCCTCTCCCACAGGGCTCTGGGAGGTGAGCATGTAGGATGCTCCATGGCACCAACCCAAGGCCACCGCTGCTCAGCTGGCCCACATCCCACTGGAAGTTACACTCACCAGCAAGACAAAAGCAGGAGCAGAGTGTGCATTTCAGACGAGAGGTCTTCTGTGGGTCCTCACTTATTTGCTGGCCACAAGATGGTGCCTTTCTACTTCCCAGCAGCTCAGGAAGAAGACCAGGTGGAACTCATAACCTGCCTTAGGCTCACACCATGTTCGTGTCTGTATTTGTACTCTTAAAAATAAACAAACAAACAAACAAAAAAACCCTACACATTCTGCAAAATAAAACCCCCAAAAATCTACAGTGATGGGAAGACAGTCTTCAAGAAATTACCCTCAGATAGTTCTTTCTCATAAATTTCTTCCTTCTTTGACTTTACTTGCAAAGCCCCATCCCAAAGACTTTGCTTGCACACAGAATAAAAAAGAAACATGTTTATCAAGAAAAATGCATACTGACAAATATCTAAGAACCAATATCAGAGCCAATCTATAGCCATGATGATACTGCCTCATAAACAATACAAAGACCTGTGCATGGCTAACTCATATTGTCTTGGCCAACTGAATACTGAATAACTTGGGTTTGATATCACTCCTACATACTTCACCAACATTATATTTGCCACCAGCTTTCAGCAATGCAATTAAAATGGGAGAGTAAATACAGTAGGAAACATACTTTCCTTTACTAAACTCTAATTCCAAAACATTTTCTCTTGTGTAAGTGTTTGTGGAGTGTTTGTTGTTTGGTTCAGGGACTATGGGGGTGGGTATTGTTCCAGTTTGGTTTGGTGGTTTTCTTTTTTGGTTTGTTTGGGGTATCTTTGAGAATTGACAGTTGTGGGTAATATTTTCAACAACAGCATTTATAAAAAATTGAAGCAATTTCTTCCAGGTTTTCAGAAAGTCAAACAAAGCAATTGAGAAATTCGTAATGGCTCTGCAGTTCCAATGTACTGAGTGACGTGGTCAAAGACATGGGTTAAATGGTTGGACTGAATGATCTTAATGGTCTTTCCAACCTTAATAGTTCTATGATTCTGTATTTATTTGTTGAGAGTATTGCATTGATGTTCAGATGGAGAAATTAATGAGACAACTGAAGATATAACAGGAATAGATCTTGAGATCTGAAACTATTTATTCCTAAAGAAAAAGAGAAAGAGAAGGAAAAGGAAAAGAAGAAGAAAAAGAAGAAGAAAAAGAAAAAGAAGAGAAAAAAGAAAAAGAAAAAGAAAAAGAAAGCACAACAAAAGTTTGATCCAACATTTCTCCAACCAGGACAACATAAGAACCAAAACTACTACCAGAATGTCTTGCCTATGTTAGGTTTGTGACTTGACGTAGAATGTTAGTCTGAGGAAAACCCTTCACTGACAGGAAAGAAAATAGTGAGTTTGTTAAATGAAAAAAGGTCTGATTTTTTAAAAGGGTTGGAAACTACACACGAAGGAGCCTCAGATGTCTCTCAGCTGTAAACTGAAGCAATAAACTTCATGAGTGTCTGTGTTTTAAGGCCAGAAGGAGACCATGAATTTTACCTGGCTTCTTACTGAATGTACATCACTGACTTATATGCATTCATCCCAGTAATTAGGCTTAGGCATTTTATTTTGGAGTAGATTAAGCTGGGTGCTATAGTAGGGACCAAAAACTACCTGCCACCTTTGTTCCAAGGCTCTACAGTGACATGGAAAGGAGTATTGTTGTGATCAGGTGACCTCAGCACATTATCTATGTTTTATACAAAGAAAAAAAAATGAGAAAAATATCTGAAATCTAGAGAAAAAAATGCTTCCTGACTGCAAAATTGGGTCTTCCACACATGACACAAGCAGGGTCATGCAGGGCAGGGCATAGTCATGAAGTTCTAGTAAATACAGATGTGGTAAATCTAAGCTACTTCAGAAGTACACAGAAAAAAAAAGTACTAAACTGTCTCAGAGTAACAGATTTCTAAGCTGACCTAAGGAGAGGCCGCTCAATCTGCATCCCTTTCTTACCCACTTAAACACTAGAACTTTCCCCTCTAAACTGGCTTATATCTTCCACAAGTTATACCTACGAGATCTGCTTTGTACACTGACTTACTGTAGCTGAAATGTCCCTCAAGGAGTAAAACCATGGCCATGAATGAGCTACAGAAGCATCAACACTGGGCAGCCTTACTGGCTATATCTACATCTGGTCGACCTCACTTCTTTTTTTCTGTTACACCTGCAGCAAAGACAGACAGAGATATCATGAGGGGCTTAAGTATCTACTTAACACAGTGAGATGATCTTCATCTGAACTGATGAAGCAGAGTTTAGAGTCCAACTGTAGAGCACGAAACAAATCTAAACAAACATCTGACTCAGCTACTAAACTGAAAAAGCAGCAGCTTTGTGGAGGGAGTTGGCAGCATCACTTAAAGAGCCATGGATTGCTTCCAGCTACCCTCTTCTCCACTTACTCTAATTATTTGTCCCTGATCCCTAAGTAGACTTGCCTCAGGCTTGCTTAAAAGAAATGGATATTTCCGGAGCACCTTTTAAAACTCCTTTCTAATTTACCTTTTTAACCTTAAACTCACAAGGCACGTTAGGCTGTTTCAGCCCAACTGCAGCCCCTAGGAAAACATTCCGTCTTAACTCACACATGATAAATGGTGCCTCTGGAGTTTTTTTATTAGTCAGAACGGTGACTTCTTTTTGTTTTTAATACAAGCCTCAGTAATCAGTACCCTCCCCAGCTACTGGTTTCTGAATGCATTTTTTAAGGCTGCTCTTCTCCCAGTTCAGACCTCTTGCCTCAAAGCCTATATCTATAGCAAGTAAGGCTGTAAGAAACTACCAGGCCATTTAACTTGCAGTGATGCTGGGCTACTGCCAAAAGTTTCTGTAAGTGCATTCAAATGAAAATAATAATAATAAATAAATCAGTTTCTCAATCCAAGTGTATCTAAAAATACTTTTTTTTTAATTTTGCGTAAATTCACAAATGATACAATAGTTAAGAGGTTGTTTTCTGGTTTCTTTTTTTGTTTTGTTTTTTTTTTTAAACATACTGTACAATCAGGTTAGTTAAGTGTTTAACACCAAGGCACAGCACACCATGTTATACACACACACCTTGCTAGGCAGCAGTTCAGTATAACTCCCCGAGTTTTGGCAGCAGTGCCAGGATAAATAGCATGGATCACATATATGCTAGAAGATAAATAATAGATGCTGTCACATTTTATTTGAAATAGAGTTGCATATAAAAAGAATATACAATAATTTAACTTGAATATCTAGAGTCCCTTGTACTATACATAACAGAAGTGTTTCATTTTTGTCTTAAACAAAACGCTTTCAATATTAGGATGCAAAATTAATCTTCTTTTTGGCTGTCTTGATTTGTGGAGAACAGTTCCATTCATTAGAAACTAAAGCTGAGTCTGCAGTTTCACATCAACCTGAAAGAAACAAACTGAGAGTTATCCATATGTTGATAATTAAAGATTGCCAGCAAAGTGAAAATAAATAAGCAATTCCAACCATACAGTTGCATTTAGATAATGCACTGTGAAGTTAGTTATTTAAGGAGAAGACCTCTGAAAGCTCTCCTCCACAAACTTCAGTAACATTTCTAACAGCTTTTTATACCCTTACTTATCCTATTTACCAAGGGTACTTTTACTGTTAGCCTGTTACTCATCCAGCAACACTAAAGTTCCGCAAACTCAGGTAACCTAAGGGTTGCCTGCACTGAAGATTGTTTATTGCAATATATTTACCATATGCATGTTACCATTCAGCTTTTTATATTTGAACACTTCTTCTTCGCCTGCCAAAAGCCTTGGAGCCCACGTTGGTTGGGACAAAGTTGTTCTTGCCCACTCCTCCTGACCTGCTCAGGAAGTCTGCCAGACGATGGGTCACGCAGGTAGCTGTGTTGCACGCCCTCTTCTGTGCTGTTACACTGCTTTTTGAAAGGAGAAGAAAGTTAATTTCCAAGTCAGTATCCAAGGTATCCACCCTACTTGCAACAAGATGTCAGTAAGGGATGTGATGCCTTAGAAAGCTTTTTCTACAAGATCAAGGGCAGGCTTGCTGTGCAGCAGGCATTTCATTTGCTCCACCAACTCTAAGTATCAAGCTCAGATTGTGAAAGGTAGAAAAGCCCTTTTTGGGCAATTGGAGTGAAGAACAATTGGACCAAACCAGACTTCCAGGGACATCTGAGCTGTTTCTTGTCTCCAAAGCACCATGGCTAGCATAGAGATGCTGGTGAGGTGCAGATCTGGGATGTTTACCCAATCCCTCTTTCCTCACAAAATTGTGAGGAACCCAGCAGCCACTCATGAGCTTTCATAGCTGAACCACCCCTAAGCATACTGCTTCTGCATATCCAATGGGAATATGGAAACATCTTTCCTGCCACTAGGCCCCAGTTCAGTACAGCTCATTGCTATGTAAATACTACACTGACATCAGAATATCTTCAGGTAAGCCCATGGCTAGTAATTTTTTTCTTTTTTTTTGCTAGACAATATTTCATGGCACACATGTTCACACAGACCTTGCTTGAGAATTTTCTACAAAAGCAAGGACAAGCATCAAAGGAAGAACAATTTTGCTCAGAAAAGCATTGCAGGACAGTTCATTAATGGTAAAAAACAATATTGTTTATAACACTGATACCATGATTCAGAGCAGACTTCTGTTTACAGGATAACTACGGTGTTGCAACAGAAGAACTGGAAATAAAGGTATGGAACATACTGTGAGAAACAGCTAAAGACAGTGTTTCTTTTAAAATACAAGCAAGACTATCTAAACATTAAACAATAAGAAAATAAAATTTAGCTTCTTAAAAGATACTCAGGTATCAACTACACTAGTGTGAAGATTTATCATTAAATGAGATGGGAAAAAAAGGAGGAGAAAATATTAAATTCTTACCTGTAAGTGTTCAGTACACAGTTCTAGACAGGATTACATTTCTAGTTTGAACAGCTCTATATGAGCCTTTCTTGATTCCTTTGCATCTCAGGCTATTTACTAACAGGTTCGCATGCATGCTGGGTTACATCAGTCCATATATTGCATAATTCCCATGTACATGTATAACTTCTAAGATACCTTTGCATTTTCTTAGCTTATTAAACTTCTCTGGAATTTCTTGCATTGCCTCTCTTGAACATGACAACAATGTGCAAAACCTTTCTAGCCTTATCTAGAAGTCTCACATTCTAAAACAAGTAAACCAAACAGATCTAATCCTTATAGAAAAATAGGTTTATTGAATGAGTGCATGGGCAGGCACAAGAAAAAAAAAAAAAAGAGTCTACTTGTACATTTAGTAGCCAGAAATGAAGAACCTTGTCTAGATTTGTTTTTTAAAATCAGTACCTAAGAAAATCATTTGAAATCAAGGCAGTGCTGTCTATTTTTATTTATTTTTCCCCTAGCTTGATGTGTGTGTTATGTTCTGTCTTGTTAACATTAGGTCCACCTCAAACATTCTCTGTCAAAAACAGAATCAAAAGAACATAGCAGAGTTAGCAATCAAGGTTAGATCCACATGCATCAGGTTTAAAAAAAAAAAAAAAAAGGAGGGGGAGGTGGGGAGGGAAGAAGGGCAGAAATAAGCACGCCTAGTTGTTTCCTAGGGTTTCCCCATAGTTTGCATAGCGTTCATGTTCCAGGTCATTCAGCACATTTCTTTTCTTGCCAGGAGTTCCAGCCCCGACGTCAGTACGAGGGTAAGTTTGCAATTTGTGCAATTCTTGAGACAGTTTGCCCAGCACACAAGTACTCAGACTGGCACAGCGTTTGGAAATAGGTCTATCCAGGCTGCAGGGGGAAAAAAGAAAAAAAAAAAACATGCCCAAAAGAAGAATAATCTCAAACATGCATGGTCATGCATTTCCTCCCCTAGGCAAATATCTACTGTTAGGAAAATCAAAATAATGCAGTAAATAATACAAATACAATAATATAAAAATAATCCCTCCACATCACATTCCATGCAAGGAAGGTTCAGACAAATGCACTTTGAAAGAAGACTGTTTTCAATGAATTCATTTTGTTGAAAAAGCAAGTTCGTTAGCCTTTAAGATGCTTGCAGTTAGGAGACAGCAAGTTTCACTCTCCATGTATTCAGCATGCTTTTCAGTCTGTCATACATCATCACCATGCTTCGCAATACAAATCCTATTAGGATAATGCAAACGTTCTTACATGCCTTTGCTCCAGGGGGGAGATGGCGCTGCGTGCACTGGGAGGGCACCTCCCCTCTGCCAGGGGCTTTCCATGCCTTACAACAGCATGCACTTTCATGACAGAGAATCCAAGAGTGACTGAATGATCCCTAACATTCCCACTAGGAAAACGTACCTTTTGCTGTATTTTTTTCCCCCATAACCCCCTCATTCAAGCTGAAATCGCCCTCCACTTTCGGTTGTAAGAGACAGACAGAAGCAGGTTAACTAAGTGGAAGCCATTCTCCTGACACAAACGTTAGGATGTCTCTACATTATGCTCCTTTATAAATTAGGTGATCAGTTAACCATTACCCCAAGAAGACAAAAACAAAAGAGAGAGGGTCTGCTCAGGTGGCTCTTTGTGAAATGTTTGATATCCAACTTGACCTTTTCCTACCCCCACAGTGGTTGTCCTTACCTGTTCCCCTCAGAGGCTTGCTCCAGCTCCTCTGCTGTCATCTGTATGAATTCTTTCACCAGAGCATTTAATAATCTCCGAGCTTCGTAATCACTCAGCGTCACTCGATCTGTTATGGACTCCAAGCCAGGTCTACGCAGAGACAAGAAAACAGGATGAATACAGAGAGCCACGTAAAGGAGAGAGGAGTGTGTCCTGCACTGCTGTAAGTCATTGGCAGTGTCTTTCATGGGTGTGAAAATGTAAGTCACACACACGCACAGCATTAGGTGTTTCATACACGTAGTTAGAAAAACATCAGTATCATAGATAGCCCTAGAAGAAGCCAGCTTTCTGCAGTCCTTTTCTCTGCTAGAGCTCTTAAAAAATAGAAGTTAAGTGTTTCCAAACCATTCAGACAAAGCACTCAGCAATATGACCAGCTTCTTACCTGACTGGAGCTGCCTGGAAGCTGTCCATCTGGCACACAACCAAGGCATAAACAGCAAGGAAAGATGAAATCTTCAGCATAACCATGATTTCCTCTCTACAACAAAGAGGCATATCAAGCAATGGCTGTTTTCCAATCATCTCAGTCCTGTAAGACCTATTGAGGAGGTCATCCTTTGCTAGCCACAAGTTGCACAAGTGCCCACAGTCCTGTTTTGTGATTTTCTTTCCCCAACATTACCTTTAATCACTCCATTTTGTTTTGGTTTTCTTGGAATTTTAAGATAACTGAATACTATTACAGGGAATATAAACACAGCCTTTCTGAATTTCAGTTCTGTCCAGCTGCATTCAGCCTAGAGCAGCCTTTCCCCCCAAATTGGGTGAAAGCATATTCCCCTGTCTGCTACACAATGTCATTCAGGGTGTGCAATACAAAGCAGCAGCCGCACAAAAAGAGTCATGAGAAAAAAATTAATAAGGAGAGAGATGGAAAGAAATGCTTACAGTTTAATGCTGTTAAGAATGAAGTGCCACTGCTGGCACTGTACCTGAAGCTGCTTGCTTCTTGGCAGCTAGCACACTAATGTCCCAGCTCAGATTATGCTTTAAGAACTAAACAACTTAATTTCAGTAAGTATTCCTACTCAGAAACTGGAGGGAGGAGAAGTTAAGCAAAAAGAAAAAAGAAGAAGAACCTGTCACAAAAGCAAACCTTGTAAAAAGAAATCATGATCGAATCGCTTTGAGCTACAGCTCTGCTCCTCGCAGCATCAGCTCTCCAAGCTCAGATGGGCACACGGGTAACTGCCCCACCAGCTCTAGGTCTCTGAGCCACCCGTTCCCAGCCCAGCCTTCAGATGTCTCAAGGCAGCGCCCGGCACAGCGGCTACCCCACACCTCCCAGCCTGCAAGCATCACAGGGATGGGAAGAGCAAGGGAGAGAGCGAGGCCCGGCTCCCACCCACCTGCTCTGCTCGCTTTCCTTCTCCACACACATAGCCACACAGAGAACTAACGCGTTACCGCCCCGCACGACAGCGCAAGGACACGAGAGAGCCGGGAGCGCCCCAACACGCGGATCTTACCGGCGGTGCGGGTCAGAGCAGCGGTGCCGCGCAGAGCGGAGGCCGTGGTGCTGCCGCCGAGCCGCGATGCCGCGCGCTGCCCGCCGGCTGCCCTTTATACCTGCCGCCGCGGCAGCCTGCGTGGGCGCCCGCGGGGCTCCGCCAGCCAATCGCCTCCCCGGCCGTCCGGCCCGGCGGTGACGTCATGAGCCACCGTCCCATTCACAAAAAAGCCGGCGGCGGCAGGGTGGGGGGGGAGGGGGGGAAAGCGCCGCTCACGATGCCCGGCCGCACGCTCTCTCGGAGCCCCGACGGCTGCGTTCGGACGGGAGGGGTTGCGGCCGCGAAGCCGGGGCGGAGGCGCGGCTCACGCACGGTGCTGAGCAGAGCCTGACGGGTCCCTGCCGGCCGGAGCGAGGAGCTCCTGGGGGCCGAGAACAGCATCCCTCGCCGCCTCCCCCGCCGCCTCCGCCGGGCTCGCACCACGGTGGGGTGGGATCCCGCAGCCCTCGAGAAAATCATCGCCGTCATCTCTGCCGCCGCTATCACCGGCACGGGCAGGTGCAGCGCCTTCCGGCGCTCAGAAGAGGCGCGGGGGGGGGGAGGCTCGGGACCCGCAGGAGGTTGCGGATTACCGGCAGCTGCCGCAGCCCCATGCATCACCGCGAAGGACCCTCTGCACCTGCCGCCAGGATGTTTGCACGGGCGGAGGAGTGTTTGCCTAGGGGTATCGAGGACCGGAGAAAAGCGGAAAGCTGCCTCCGGCCCGGGCAGGAGCGGGGAGAAGAGGAACCCACACCCCCGGACTCCGCAACCGCCGGTGGGGCGGGTGGAAGGAGAGGGGGGAAGCGGCGGCCCCCGGCCCCGCTGGCTCCGGGCCCCCTCCCTGCGGCGCTGCCGGGCCCCGCCCGCGGTACGGGGACGCGCCCCGCGCTGCGCTGCCGCTATTGGCCCCGAGGCTGCGAGCGGGACTCGGCGGCCGCACGGAGCTGAGCCGCGGGCGGGTGCGGGACGGCTGGTGCGCTCGTTCCGTGCTCGGTGCGGGCGGGCGACTTGACCTGAGCACTGCTGCCCCATCCTCTTGGTTTTTCGTTTGTTTGTTTGTTTTTCTTTTTGTTTGTTTTACAGACGGCTCCTGATGGCAGAAGCAGCGCGTTTCACCTGCAGGCGAACGAAGGTAGGGAGAAACGAGAACAGGTATTTCTTCGCTGGCTTGGAAGTTGGAAGAGGAGCATGGACGCGGCGCGCTGATCAGTCGATGGGGGCTTCTTCCCCATTCTCCTCCTCTCCGCAGCGGGGCACCGCGCTACAGCCGGGTTCCGCTGCCGCTTTTCCGCTCTCGTTCTGCAGAACGATGACCGCAAAACCGTTTAAGACGAACTGAGCCCGGCCCGGGGCTCCTCGTTACGGCTCCCTCCCGACTGGGCTCGTCCCACAGCCCTCCTACTGCTCCCGCACACGTGGAAAGTTAGTTTGCGATGCACGGCTGCGTGCCAAGGGAACCTTGGGTCTCCCGAGAGAAGGAACTGAAGTATTTAATTTTAAATATATTTCCGACACTTCTGTGCTGATTTCTCAGCTAGTCTTTCTGAGGTTGCATTTCCAAACGTGAGGTAGCACCCAAAGGAACAGGTCGGCATCGCTTTTGCTGTTTCAGCGTGACTTGTGCAGCTCCATCAACAGATGTATGGTGTGGGAGCTCCACCGACTGAACTCACAGCCCCAGCCTTCCCCATTCCCTTCCCCTTTCTCTGTTAACAATTAATCACACTCATTTCCTTTAGGGATTTATTTACTCGGCAAGGAATATTTATCTTTTAACCTTAAAAAGTCCAGACGACCATGCAGGAATAGTGTATCTCAGTTCTTCAGGGGGTTAGCAAGCTGTATTCCATCTTACAGCCAACTCCAGTCACTCTGCGTACTTCTCTTGCCAATGTAACTCAGCCCCGGGCTGGAGCCTGCAGGATGTACTGATTACAGATTTCAGATGCCAGCATTTCTACTTTAGGCTTTCACAGGAAGAAACATAAATTTAAAGCAACAGGTATTAGTGCTAATAGATAAACTTTTGTGTGCGTAAAGATGAAATAGTATTTGGATGTTGGCAAGCGCTTTGGCTGCTCCTTGCCAGCACTAATGGAGGGACTCCCAGCTCCTTCTGGCTTTTTTTTTTTTTTTTTCCTGCACAATTACACATCAGCTGGTCTCATCAGATAGATTTTCTTCCTCTCTTCTCTTATACATAAGATGGAGAAGAAATAGCTATGAAAGAACTCCAAAGATGGGATTGTCTAGTTTTAGAAGCTGTCAAAATGTGACAGGGTTGTTATGGGATAAAGGTTTCCTGCTGCTAGATAAATCCAAAACCAGAGGTTAAGTATTTGTGGGAAAACTAGTGCAGTGGGTTACCTGTGAGCACTGCACTAAGGAACCATGAGGTTTACAGAAACAAGGATCTGGTTCTGCTTCCTTCAGTGCCTGCTGTCAGGTGAAATAATCAGTTTGTACAGGCTCAAAGGAGATGAACTGAAGAGCTACAGAATGACTTGATCTTTTTTAATAAGAAACTAGATTATCTAATACAAGCTGCAGCTCCAAATAAAAGAAGAATTTCCTCTTTTAATTAAAGTTTGTAGGGAATCAGAAAAGGCTGCCCTATTTTCAATTGACTTTCTTTCTCTACACTTGATTGGATTTCTTCCAATATCCTACTGTATGTTATTTAACTATACATCTCAAAGCACAACCATTTGTTTTTCTACTATAAATATTGCCATCATGCCAACAAGCCATAGACATTGCAGTGAGGTTCTTAAACGTCACCTGATTTGCAGAGCAGGGTGTTTCATGTTAAAATGGATTATAAAAGCTACACAGCCTTTCTGTCTCTGTGTCTCTACCTGTCCATGTTCCAGATGGACACCTAATTCAGCCTCCTATCTCCACAAATGGCTGGAAAACACTTCTACTGAAGAAGATGAACACATACAGGGGACAGTGAGCACTACTAAGCACCCATGAAAACATCTTTCTAATGTGTGATTCCAATCTGCCCCACAGAAAATTAATCTGGACCTGAGTTAGCCACATGATGCTATTGTAAACGAAAGCTGTCTGTTAACAGGAATGTCATGTTTAAGGCCCTAAAAGGTAATCCTTGCACTCTACTTGCTGCTGATAAGACCTAGACCTCACTGTACTCTGTTCAGACTAGCATGACATACCTCAGAAAGACCTGGGCAACTTGGAGGGAGTCCACAAAAAATCCAACATTATTATTATTGGAGCTCAGAAAGCGACTTAGGAGAAAAACAAAACAACAAAAAAAGACCAAATGTGAAGATTGGAGAAACAGTTAACAGAAGGAAATATCATGAAGAAAGATAAAAACATAAATACTTGCTACAAAGAAGTAATAATGTGCTCAAAAAAGCAAAAATATATGAACTTAAAAGACATCAGTAGAGATGCTGTACATTAGAAAGAGCTTTCTATAGTTGAAATTAATGCCATATAAGAACAATTTCTATTGCACCATACTAACAGTTTCTATGCCACTGTATGGCATGGTAGTCTAACATCTGTCAGGAATGACATCATGTAGCTAATATTCATTCTGGGAAAGGAACATGATCAATTAAATGAGCTTTCTTCATCTCTTTCATCTCCAGTTTCTGAGATTATGTAATTTTAACAGCTTGCTTAAACTCTGAAACATAACATCTTACCTATTGTCCAAACTTTTACTAGCAGTGGTTTTGCAGATCTTACCTCCCTAAATCATCTGATCCTTTTCCCAACCACAGCCTTCAGAAGGCAATATTCATATTTAGACTAACCTCATGTCAGGTTTACCTGCACAAATTATATTTTACCTATCTATCCTGTAGTTTCTTTAAATTTGGCCAAAAAAAATGAGTGCCTCTCTTCAGAAAAATGCAGCATTTCAGTGAGAACCAGAACATGGATACAGATCCCAACACTAGAGGGTTCCCTTTTTAATAGCATCAGCAGTCAGGGTACTTCAGTGACTCGTTTCTCAAGAAAGGAAGTTATTGAGCTAATTACTGGGAAATCTATGAATCAGTCTGGAAGCAAATTCAGATCTTCCAAAATGCCTTAGAAAAGCTTCCAGACTGAAATATGGAAGACATTTTAAACAGAAGATCGATGCTGGATTGTTTTAATCTCACTGAAACGCTCCTAATGAGCTTTGGCTTTGAAGTACTTTCCCTATATGTATTCAAAAACCTGGTACAGAATAATCTTTTACAACAAAGTGGGTCACGCTGTGCAGCACTGAGGGTTCTATGGCACGAAAGAAGGGGCAGATCATAAGGAAGTTGGCTATGGCTCCATCATCTTCCAACCTTCAGAACCACAGCTCAGCCCGTGGGCAGGCTCACAGAGGCTGCAGGCCCAGTTCATGCCACGTGGCAACACTTCCACCCTTAAGAACTGGCAAAACTCTACCACACTCCAGCCAGACCCAGTCCTGTCCCAGGCTGCACCTCCAGTGCTCTGACAAGGGAATCCCTGAAGGGGAGCTTTCAGCTCACCAAATTCAGCCAGGGGCAGACCCAGAGCATGGCCAGGCTAACACTAAGAGGACAAACTGCATGGGAGAATCTCACTCTGAATGAAACACAGCACCTATTTCCACTTCAGTTTTATATATTTTCCAGCTGAGATAGGAGTTGAACAAACTCCTTATCTGGAAAGCAGCCTCAGAACTGAAAACAGACCTTGTTAGGCAATAGCATAGTTATAAAACCTTGTTTCGATCGCTTGCACAAGTGCTATCCTACTATCTTATATGTCATCAGAGCGTGTCAGCAAAAATCTAGTGAGAAACTGTCTGGTAAATCCTGACATTAACCCTTCACAAGATACTAGGAGCCTGGGAGAGCTCATGTCAGTATTTCATTCTGTGTCCCAATAGTAGGTAACCCTAACCCTGATTAAGCCACAATGTAATTTAACAGTTTGATCAGCCCATTCCAGGACCATTCTGCTGACCCTGCGCAGTGGGCTGCTACAGTGATAGGCCTCTTGTTGCCAGCAGTGCCATCTGTGTGGGGAGGACCAGGCGTAACAGTTTCTCAACTGGCTGTTTAACTCTTTGACTCTTACAAAAGCCACTTGTGCTTGACAAAGAAAGAAGCCTGCTTTGATACAAGTTGGTGAGATACTTGATGGAGCTTGGAAGCAACTTCATCTTCCTCCCAAGAATGTAACAGAGTTGTCATTGGACTCTTAATATTGTTACTGAAAGAACAATCCCATCTATGTGTAGATTTCTTCAAATTCTTTCTGAAGTCAAAACTATGCACATGCACAGCCACTTCCTGTCAAAGAACTGCCTTCTGCTTTTCTGGAGAAGGCAGGAATGTAATCTTTGCTGTTACTTGATTGCGTCCAACTCTTCCTCACAGAATTTATGGTGCAAAGTAATTGTGAATTGTGATGACAAGAATGTTTTAGAATTTAATAAAGATACACACTTTAATGGGTTTCCTTACTCAGCCATCGTTTTTTTATAATTGAAATCACAAAACCTTTACTCATCCTATGAGTTTGCTCATTTGATCATCTGTGATTAAGATGAGTAAAACCTTCCCAAAGTAGCAATTCAGCACAAGCTACCCCCACACTCTCAAAAGAATGAAAGAAATATAAAAAGATCAGTGAGGAACTGGCAAGGAATCCTCTTTGGATAGCCCACTGGGTTCTTGAATCCCTACACCTCTGTTCTTACGTGATGTCATCTGTCTGTGAAGCTTCATTTATCACTTCTGACAACTTTCAGTCATACTTATCCATGGCTTTCAGTCATACTTTTCCTCCATTTAATCATTCTTTAGAGACTGTTGGATTTGTAACCTTGGTAGATTCATCACCATTTGGCTTGATCAAATCTGATATAACAGCTCTGCAATCACGTGCTTCATTTCTCATCCTCTGTTACAGCAAATAGCACCATCTTCTTTCCTCCATCACCAGGGTCCAAATACTATGATAAGAGCAGTTTTGATTGTTCTCTCCCCCGCTTGAAAATGATTGTTGGACTTTTCTATATCTCCTTTTTTTTTTTCTTGGGTCTTCCTATGCTATGATTGTTTTCTGTTTTTCCTCCCCAGAACATTTGCTGCCAAAAAGTCAATCACTTTTGCTTTCTTTTCTTAGACAGATGCACTAGAAATCATAATCCTCTGGGTGCATGTGATGTATTACACGCTTAAAAGTGAAAATCAAAGCAATTGCAGCTTGGCTAGGTTTCTTCAGACACTCTGAGAACTACTCAAGTATCATCTTATCCGGGGCAGGTGTATTTTGATCAGCTCATCTGTGTACCTCCATTCACCTAAATATGCTGTTTTTAAACCCTCTCTTCCTTACTTAAGTAGGTTTGAATCCATCCATTTGAGTTTGCATGTTTCAGCACAGCTGCTCAAGCAAACTGCAGACATTTTTTTTAACCACTTCCCTTTTTTCTCCCTCTGGCTGGAGCCAAACTGGGGGCCTGAATCTGTTGCCCACTGTTGAGAAATCTTAAGGCACTTACACGTTGATGGTTTTGCAGGCATGGCCAAAGTAATTCAGTCAAGATGACAGGAAATTTCATAATGGAACAAAGTGTGAGGGAAGGGACTGCACTGCTTTACACTGTACTGCTGCAACCTCACCTTGAGTACCATGCGCTGGTTTGGGTGCCACAATACAACAAGGATATAAAACTATTAGAGAGTGTTGAAAGGTGACAAGAAAGATGGTGAAGGATTTACAGGGGAGGATGTATGAGGAGCTGCTGGGATCCCTTGGTTGGCTCAGCCCAGAGCAGAGGAGCTGAGAGGAGGCCTGATGGTGGCTGCAGCTCCTCACAGGGAGCGGAGGGGCAGCGCTGAGCTCTGCTCTGTGTGACAGCGACAGGGCCTGAGGGAACGGCGTGGAGCTGTGCCAGGGGAGGGACAGCTGGGAGTGGGAGACAGGTTCTGCACCAGAGGCCAGTGGGCATGGAACAGGCTGCCCAGGGCAGCGGTGATCACACCAAGCTGCTGGAGTTCAAGAAGCATTAGGACAGCACTCGCAGACATAGGATCTGATTTTTGTGTGGTCCTGTGTACAGCCAGGAGCTGGAGTTGATTACTCTAATGGGTCTCTTTCAACTCAGGTTATTCTATGGTTCTGTGAGATAACTTGCAGCCAAAACGCCAGGCAAAAGGCCACACCTTATCATTTCCCAGTCTCCTTCCTTCCCCCATCCCAGTCACAGTACCTCCACTCTGTGCTCTCAAAGTGATGCCTTTGCCGTGCACGATTTCATCTTCACCTGCCTTCTGAGCAGCATCAGGGGCCATCCTCAGCCTCGGGGCCATGTGCTCTCAAGTTAGTACCTCCACATCAGAAGCAGAACATCCCAACACAGGAACACACTGGGGATTAAGCATTAAATAGTTAGATGACCGAGAATGCGATGCACTTTGATCAGTTAGGTTATTTATGAAGTTCATCAGTACAAACTCTGTATCAGTGCAGATCTTAATCTTCTTCCAGAACTACTGGAGGTACCGAGCTAAAATCAGCAGAAAGAAAGACTGAATTGGACACAGCACTGTAATTTTAGTAGGGCATCAGTACTTCTGGTATGCTAAGATCTACTTGTACGGTAGCAGCGACAGAAAAGTAAAACAACATGAGCGGAAACAGAGTGAAGTTTTATACGAACTGTTTCAACAGGATGTTATGCTTCATTGTGGGATTGCATTCTTAGCTCGGCAGGAAGCAATCTGTGTTTGTCCAGCATCTGCAGCCCTTTGCCGAGGTGCCACCCTGCTCGCTAACAGTGGCAATAACGAGTTACTCAGAGATGTCCTCCAGCAGACATCAGGCTCCTGCCGACGGTGCCCACCGCCCACCAGCGGAGCCCCGTCGGGCGGGCACGTTCCCTTTATCGTGGCCAGAAGGGAGGGCGAGAAGAGAAGGAAACGCGGCGGGGTTGTCCGTCTGCAGTCTCCCAGACCCGAGGAGGCTCCGGGAAAGATACCCCCAAAGCGCGTATTTCTGCTTTTCCTATTTTTCCAGGTCTACGTACGAAGGTATTTTCATTCGGGCGCCCCAAGCTTCTCAGCGCTTCACCAGCGCAGCCCCGTCCCGCCCCGCAGCCGGCCCGGCCCGCTGACGCGAGGGGCGGCGCTCCCGTGGGCCGACCGACGCGGGGCGGCTCTGCCAGCGCCCAACGGGGGGCGGCGGGCCGGGGCCGGGCGGCGGGAGGAAGCGGCGCGATGGGGCCGGCGGCGGGGGACGCGGAGCCGGCGGCGGCGGCGGCGGCGGCGGCGGGGGGCGGGCCCTGGCTGCTGCTGGCGCTGCCGCCGCTGCTGCTGCTGTTGGCGCTGGTGGTTCGGCAGCTGTTGAAGCAGCGGCGGCCGCCCGGCTTCCCGCCCGGCCCCGCGGGGCTGCCCCTCATCGGCAACATCCACTCCCTGGGCGCGGAGCAGCCGCACGTCTACATGCGGCGCCAGAGCCAGATCCACGGGCAGGTACCGGGCGGGAGCCGGCGCCGACGCCGAGCCGGGGCAGGCGGCGGGCAGAGCGGCGGAACGGCCCGGCCGCTATCGGGCGGGACGGCGCTGGGGGCCCCGCAGCTCCGGCGCTGAGCGTCGGGCGAGACGCGTGCTGCGGGCGGCCCGGCCCCGGGCTGAGAGCGGCTCCGCTCTCGTGCGTCCGCTTCGGGACAGCGGTGTGGCCGAGCATCCGGCTGCCCTGCATTCGTGGGGCTTCGCCTGGGGCAGAGCGCGCAGGAAACCAAAGGGCAGGCACGGGCATAGTGCAGCACTGTCACGGGAAGAACTGTGCATTAAAGTGCCTTCAGAGTGATACTGGAGTACTTTCTGACAGTCCATTTATATACATATATAGGAATGTTGTGATGTTTTGGTTGTTGGTTTTTTTTTTTTTCCTTTTCATGTTTTCTTGTTTCTCAGCTTTTTCTTTTCATTACCCCGTTTCATGGAAGCAGTCTATTCTTACACGCTTCAAAAAAGTGAAGCCCAAGCTATCAGTGCTGGCTCAGAAAGGCAGGCAGAGCAGATGCAGCACGTGTAGGTGTGCGCCTCTTCCCGCCCCCTCCGTCCCCGGAATGCCTGCGGGCTTTTCCTTAGAGGGATTCTCATCGATGGAAAGAGAGAGCTTTGAGTCCAACAAACACTGACTTGGCTAGAAAACCATGTTCCTCAAACTATTAAGAGTTGTGTAGGGGGTTAGGGGCTGTTTAAATAACACCCTGAACAAGGAAATGAAAGAATACTGGTGATGGCACATAAGTCTTTCAAAAGCTTTTGTAAAGCTTTTCATTATGGAAGCTGCAGAAGAGACTTAACAGTCATAGTTTTATGAACGAGAAGCAAAATGTGTGAACGAAAAGCGTGCTCAGTGGCAGAAGCGAAAGGGTAGGGTTATCTCTTCATCTCTTTCCTGTTATTTTGGCAGTAAAGGTGTTTCAAGGGATTGGGATGAACTGAATGGAAATAGAAAGGCAAGTGTATCATTTTAAGCTTTTTTATCAATTAAGCTTTATACTTGCCTGAATGCTGACTGCAGTTCTCTTCACCTGCTGTCACCAAGGATTCTGCAGAATTTGGGCTAGATCAGGAGGCAGACCAGGATACTGGGAGCTCTAGAGAAGATCAAAGAAATGATCTTTTAAAGAGTGTTTCACAACATACGAAGAATGATAAATAGGCTATGATTGAAGTACACAAAAATAAATGCTTCCAGGAGGTACAGCGGTACTTTCTTCTCATCATGTAAAAAAGAGCAATTGCAACAGTAAAAAATTTAGGCTTGCTAAAAGGAAATAGACTTAATAGAATGAGTAAATAAACTACTGCCTATTACTTCATACAGCGATGGTCAGCAATGCTGTAATGAAGAAAAAATAAAGATTTGTATAAGTGAAAAATACCAGATTTAATACACTAGCAAAAGTATGAAAAGGAATATAGAAGTTCAATCTTGAGAATTTAGCCTCATTTTTATTTTATTTTTTTAAGCTTAGGAGAAGATTTTCGTTGTGTTTATCCTGTACCCTTCTGCAGGGTGCATTGCATCTTTCTCCAAAGGATGGAGTGCTGAGTACTTCTGGAAATAGGAGATGGGACTAGCTGGGCTATGCTATCATTTGTTGCCTGTCATCATGCCTCTCACATCTGTCATCTGATGGGTCTTTGGGAGTCTGTGCAAAGTAAACTGGTGCCCAGTTTCAGAGAGAAGGACAAGGTGGAGCTTGGCTGTCTTCCAGCACTGACACCACTTCTATGCCTGCCATCACTAAGTGATGGAAGTTTTGGTCAGAACTTGTAGCTTCGATCACAATGCCCTTAACCAAATTCAACTACAGGATTTTTTTTTTACTACAGAAGAAAGGAGCGACAGATAGCAGTGAAACATCCCTCCTTTCTTTGTTTCAATATGAAAGTATATAGTACAAGTACTTTAGTTCTTCTGTAAATAACGTACCTCCCATCCACTTGCATTTGGAGAAAAAACTTTTTTTTTCCTGAAATATGCAAAGGTTCACTTTTTTTTTTTTTTTTAATGACTATATGAAAGTGTTCCCAATCCTTACGTTGGTGGTTTGGTCCCACTAGGTGCACTGCAAAGCAGAATGTAGCATAGGCTAACTCACTGTATCATTTGACAGAGATTAATTTAGCTCACAACAAACTCTGTGATGCCATAATTGTGTCAGTACTTGAGAATGCTCCTATTTCTTGTATGCCCCATTGAAGTTTATTGCTATATTTATGAAATCCATATTTTGCATTGAAGTTTAGTGTTGTGTCACTTTTTCATTAGTTATATTTGCTTGTTTTCATTATTTCTTTGTAAGATTTGGTTGTTACAGCATCTTATAATCTCTTTTTTTTTTCCCCTAAAGATTTTCAGTCTTGATTTGGGAGGTATATCTGCTATTGTGCTGAATGGCTATGATGCAGTGAAAGAATGCCTCGTCCACCAAAGCGAAATTTTTGCAGACAGACCATCTCTTCCTTTGTTTAAGAAGCTGACAAACATGGGAGGTAAGTGCTCGTGTCTTCAAACAGAAATACATTTTTGTCCATAAGATTTTATTAGGCTGTATGATCATATGAAACATTTGTTCCAGTTGTTTTCTCTACCTTATCTCTTTTTATGAAATACTCAATGCTTCTTTGAAGACATACAGAAAAGACTGTCATTCCTGAGCTAAATTCCACAGCAAGATGCATGTAATTTTTTTTTTTTTTTAATCTCTGTGCTCTCCCTTCCTCAGTCAATTAATGTCAGTTGGAAATCTACTTTCTTTGTTTCTGGGAATCAAATTAGCTTTGAAGCATCTCTTAGCTTTTAGCTATGAGCAGTGCAAGAGTCTTCTGAAATAGCTATACTTATCTATTATTATAACTCTTCCAGTTGTTTAGCACAAACTCTGAGAAACATATTTTTCACACAGAGGGTGGTGATGCACTGGAACAGGTTGCCCAAGGAGGCTGTGGATGCCCCATCCCTGGAGGCACTCAAGGCCAGGCTGGATGTGGCTCTGGGCAGCCTGGTCTGCTGGTTGGCGACCCTGCACATAGCAGGGGGTTGAAACTGGATGATCATTGTTGTCCTTTTCAACCCAGGCCATTCTGTGATTCTATGATTCTATTTTCTTCCAACTCATCTTGCCTTCCTTGCAGATTTGGTCTGTTGGAGTTGGCAAATATGACTTCTGTGGCCTTGTTATTGAGAAGATCTATATTAAATTGGCCTTTAACATTCAGATACAGGTGTATGAGGAACTTCAGAAATTTTGATGAGTTTAAGAGTGGCACCTCAAAATTAATTTCTCAGGTTAAATATCAGTATTTCTTCTGGTGTTTCCATTCTGTTTCTTTATTTTCTGCCTTTTATGCCTGGCTTTGTAACATGTGCTTTGCACCACCTCTTTTACCTTGTATTATACAGATTTCAGCCACGTCATTAAAAATTGCACCTTGTTCCTTCTTAGGGTTTTTTCTTTAGAATGCTTATTAACATAACTATTTTTAACCTAGACTGGCAGCCCCATATCCTTATGGCACTTTATCTCCCAGAGATGCTGAGAAGTAGTATGACCTTTATAAATCTGATGGAGACAAATACTGAGAGATTACTCAGTATTTGAACTCTTTGAATCCAAGCTTAAAAGATCTTTTTTTAAAATTAGTTATAGACAGACTTCACCTCAACTTTTGTTTATAGGATATACTACTTTTAGTAAAAACTAAGTTAAAACTTCAGTGAAAAAGGAACATGTGGGCATTACCACATGTTAGTATATGTCTTATGACTCAGGAGGCTTGCATTTTGATATCAAAATACTCTTGATGTACCTGCTGACGTCATAGTGGAAGTAACTCATAGCAATTGCTCTTAGTTCCAATTTTCCATAAATGCAAAATGTTTCCAGATAGATCTGACGTGCTTTTACATAAAGGTATGAAATCTGCTCGCCTGTAATAGCATAGGTATATCTAATTCAGCTTCGAGGCAGAGGGGTTGTTTAGGCAATCTTCTAATTGCTTATTCTACTGACAGTAATATACTTTTAGAGTGGACTGAATGGTTAAATAATTTTATTGTCTTATTGAGGCATAAAAAGCATTGCATAAAATGCTGTGTCAAAACATTTTTTTCAGGCTTACTGAACAGTAAATACGGCAGAGGATGGACAGAACATCGCAAGTTAGCTGTAAATACCTTTCGAACTTTTGGATATGGTCAAAGGTCCTTTGAACACAAAATTTCAGAAGAATCTGTGTTTTTCCTTGATGCCATTGATACCTACAAAGGCAGACCATTTGATCTTAAGCACTTGATAACAAATGCTGTTTCAAACATTACTAATTTGATTATTTTTGGAGAACGTTTTACATATGAAGATACTGAATTTCAGCACATGATTGAGATTTTCAGTGAAAATATTGAATTAGCTGCTAGCGCCTCTGTATTTTTATATAATGCTTTTCCTTGGATTGGTATCTTGCCTTTTGGGAAACACCAGCAGCTGTTTAAAAATGCAGCAGAAGTCTATGACTTCCTTCATAAGCTTATAGAACGAGTCTCTGAAAATAGGAAACCTCAGTCTCCTCGACATTTTATAGATGCATACTTAGATGAAATGGATTGCAACAGAAGTGATCCAGAATCTACGTATTCAAGAGAAAACTTAATTTTCTCTGTTGGAGAACTCATCATAGCTGGGACGGAAACCACAACAAATGTTTTAAGATGGGCAGTGTTATTTATGGCTCTTTATCCAAACATTCAAGGTAAGAATTTTGAGAAACTGATACACTTTCCCATTGCAAATTATAAAATGAAGTATGATATTAACATTTTAGCATGTTATTAAATTGTTTTACAACTTTTTATGGAGATTTGATTTTTTTTCATAAATATTTCTAATATATTTAAATTTTGCATTGCATTGCTTAATATTGGTTGGCAGATGCACTAACTATATTAAAATAAATACATGCAATTAAGTAAGAAATAACAACGTAAAAACATCAGCAAAAATATTTTGGATATCTTAGTTGCAATTTTGATTTTCCTTAAGCACCTCAATTCAAAATAGATTGAAGTTTTTTGTATTTCTGGAAGAAAGAAAAAAAAAACATTTAAAAACAAAAAGATAAGATTACAGCTATCGGGAAGTAAGGCAGCACTAGATGTTTGAATATCAGCCCTGACACCGTGTAGAAATTTGGATTTCAGAGCTAACTAGTCATCTTGTGTCACTGCCTACAGATTTATTTCTCCTATTAAAATCATAGTGGTACTTCAAATAGAAACTGTCATGGTTTGGAGAAAAAGCAGTGTGATGACTCAAACTTGTAAAAACTAGTATTTGTACTTTGACCAAATAATATTCCTCTAACATCAATTTGAACATTCTTTTAGATTAGGGATAACAACACTACCCATGTCTGTAAGGCTCTTCAGTTCTATCTAGAGATCAGATATCTCTATATATGAAAGGTTATGCTTTATTTTTGTGGTAATGGATGTTTAACTAAGGAGAAATACCTAGGTTTCGCTGAGTACAAAATGAATACTTCTTTTGTGGAAGCTTTTATGCTTCCACAGGTTGCTATTTTTAAGCAGTCAGCATATTTCAGATGATTTAAAACAGATAGTTCTAAAAAAATTAAATACTGCTTTTACGTTTCTGTGTTCCGTTAATTCATCATCATACTTGATGTAGTACAATTAGAAAGTCTACAAAAAAAAAAATTAAAAAATGATAGAATATGATTATAGGTACTTAAGTTTTAGTATACATATTCGTATTGAAAAGAGGTATTTTAAGTGCCATAAGTAGTCAAAAAGACTAAAAATGTCCTAACTCCCTGAGATCTGACCAAGATATTGTTATTCAATTGAGATCAAGAAAAACATTATCTCTTTTCCTATACACTGGCCAGTTTTGTAGAAATCCACTCACCTAAAATAATCTCCTGATCTTGGATACTGTACAGTACAATACATTCCTGAATCAGAATTCAATATCAGTTCATCTAGATAAAAAATAAGAATTGCAGTTACTTTTTTTTTTTTTTTTTTTTTTTTACAATACACGCCAATAAATCACTACATTACAGAATGTGCTTTCACTAAGCTGTTTCCCATCTCTTTATATTGATATGAAATACTGTCACATCAGATTGAAGAACCTGGTGATTCTTGGTAGACTTTTTCTGTTGCTATTCAGATTTTCATTATTTGTACATTTAATGTAAAAATGCAAATTTATTTTAATTAATTAGGGGCAGTTTGCCTGTCTCAACAAAGAAAGCTTATGAGGAAAAAAAAAAAAAAAGAGGAGGTCCGAATGCCTTTTTTTTTTAAAGAGTGATCTTATTCCTTTGAACTTAGGTTCATATAATTTTAAAAATAGCTAAAAAAATGAGGATTGATTGAATTTTTTTCTTTTCAGTTACATTCAGAATCTTGCTACTGCGGTCCTTTTATCTAATACATTACAGTGAGAATTATTTTCAGTTTAAGAATGAATGATTTTACACTGTGTCAATTTCAAAGACTCAGCAGAATTAGACAAGCACCATTGTAAGTAGGTAATATCAGTGTTATCTGTGTCCACTCAGGTATTTAAAGTACATTATCTTTAGAGTCTCATGCTTGTTCCCTTCACTTTGATGAAACAGAAGTAAATTTGAGGACAAAAGAATATAATAAAGTATGATTTTACTGTTAATAGTTAATCTTGAAATGAAGATTACTGTTATATATGCTTACAAGTATTCCTACTAGCAAGAGGAAGACAAAGGTCTAACTTTAAAAATAAGCTACTATATTTTTGGTATGAAATGTCATGTTTCAATATTCTTTTATAAGTGTATTTTCAAGCTATAAAATATAAAGGATTTTTCACTTATTCCTTTTCCTAACAGGACATGTTCAAAAAGAGATCGATTTAGTCATCGGCCCAAACAAAATGCCTACTTTGGAAGAGAAATGTAAAATGCCATATACCGAGGCTGTTCTCCACGAAGTTCTAAGATTCTGTAACATAGTTCCACTAGGTATTTTTCACGCAACCTCCAAAGATACTGTTGTACGTGGTTATTCTATTCCTGAAGGCACTACAGTTATTACAAACCTCTACTCTGTACATTTTGATGAAAAATACTGGAACAACCCAGAAGTGTTTTTTCCTGAGAGATTTTTGGACAGCAGTGGACAGTTTGTCAAGAAAGATGCATTTATTCCTTTTTCATTAGGTAAAAACGATTCCTTCCACTGTTCCTTCCCATAAATCTAGGAACATACAACATAAAAGTGATGACAATAAATCAGAAATGAACAGCATGATTTAAATCCATGGTTCTGATGAAACAGCTATTTTAAACATATATTCTTTTCTGAGCATAGCACATTTTAGGATAATGCTATATGAAAAAAAAAGGAAACTATTATACTGCTTATACAAATCAACAACTATTTCGCAAATTATACAAACCAACAAAAAAAACCAACTTGTGTAGTGTCTCCTTATCTGCAGAATTTATACGTATCAGATCATCGTGGCACCTAAATGCTGTTTGTTTCAGAATTAACGTGCATAGTCATTTGCTGCTGAACTTGTCACAAACAGGTGATATGCAGAGCTAGTTTTCAAATTTCAGCACTTTGGTCAGCACCAGAAATTGCAGGTACTTTTTTCAAGGGAGGTCAGCATATGGCTCTACCTTATGTCCCAAGAAAATATTCAGGGAGTCCTAAGACAGTTTTCTTGGACTAGATGCACAACTCCTAAATGGCCTAAGTTAGATGTGATGAATTCTATCTTTATTGCTTGTTTTGTTTCTCTGTATTTATTTGATTTTAAAACTAATAGAATTTGTAATCCATCTGTCTTACGAAAACACAATTTCGTATTCACAAAAATGAAAACGTAATGTAAATAATTTTACAAGTCTTTTCAAAAACTTTTTTTTCTAATTCAGGAAGAAGACATTGTCTTGGAGAACAGCTAGCTCGAATGGAACTTTTTTTGTTTTTCACTTCTTTACTGCAACGATTTCACCTGTGTTTTCCTCATGGTGCGATTCCAGATCTCAAACCAAGATTGGGCATGACATTACAACCACAGCCATACCTCATTTGTGCAGAAAGACGATGAAGAGAGGTGTCTAGACTGTGAGGTGGAGTAAAATGGTCCAAGCTGCTGCCAAGGAGTCTCTTGCCTTCTATTTCTAAATGTATTCAAGTTGGAAGAACAAAAATGTTAATGACTTAAACTATGGTTATTTGTGCACAAGTTCATGTCTTCTTTTTACTTAGTTTTCACAAAAACAGCAGACCAAAAACACTCTCAACCAAGAATATAAAACAAATCCTGTGTTTAAAGGTGACCTTTCCACTCCATAAATTTGTTTTGAATCTAATTTCTGATTCAGTTTTTAATTTCTTAGTAAGCTATTTTACTTTATTTTACATATTTTTATGACATAGAGAATATGGCTTAAATTTTTATACTCAGATTTATCTGTAGAAATCCTGTATACCCTATTCCAGCAAAGCTAGAATATATAATTCTCTATTAAATTCACACAGCTAAAATGATTTTAAAGGTATGTTTAAATTTCTGTAACTGAGAAATTCTTGACAAACAAGTCTATAGTTAAAGCATTTCAATCCTTCCTTCATCATTCCCAGTATTCCTATATGGTCTTCATTTTCTAGTAAGTCAGATAACTGTATGATTCATTTTTGATGTATTTTATGGCTTGCTTTTTGTTCAGTAACATACGCAACGTGTTCCATTATTCTCATGCTCCTGACAATTACAGAAATGCACTTTGCTTGTTAATTGCATTTCCAGACACATCCTCCATTTCCTCCCAACACAAAGCATTACATAACAATTAAGCTCTGCCTCAGTAGTCTAAAAAAAAGTGTTTGTGTTACAAAAGTCAAGTGCAGCTGTACTAAGAGTCTGCTCATGAGTCTGGCAGAAGAGACCTTGTAGGAAGGAAGGAGAAAGTAGGGTAGGGAGAAACAAATTTTAACTGGATTTTAAGCTCAGGTTCTAAGCATAAAAGCTATTTGATTTCTGGTAACCCTATTTTTGATCCTGCTTGCAAGCCATTGCTTTATGGTTATCGGTAGAATGTGACAGTGAGTGCACAGCTCTGTGGGTAGTAGTGGGACTTCAAAATAAGGTTCAGAAAAACACACGTGCTGAGGGAACAGCTATTTACAAACAAGGCTTAATATTGAGTCTTGCTGTTTTCACACCTTTTGCTTTGACTTGGAGCTGCAGGAAAGTTCAAAGGCAGAAATTTGACATTTTTCTTCTCACGTGAGGTTTTCAGTTCATATTGAGCAGAAATACTTCCCTTCTTTTGAAATAACAACTGAAAAGTGTGAAATACAGCTAGTATCAGTCCATTTACATAGACATGTATGGACTTAAGATGCAGCAGATCCAACTTAAATTACTCACCATGTCTAAGGATGAGATGAGACGTGTGTCCAACAGAGAACATCTCAAAAGCATGTTCCTGGTGCTCTGAAAAGGGAAGAGTAGCAACTCTTCTTGCTAAACTACATTTCCTTAGAGATTCGTGATTTCAAAAGGAGAGGATGATTATAAACCTTACTCCTGTGTATTTGACACACCATGAAAGCTGCAAATAATCTGTTCCTAGGATTTTTGCATATAGAACGAATACAGAAGACAAAGCTGCTGAGCTTCTCTGTCCAGACTGTGGCTTTCTTTTCTTTCTTTTTTTTTTTTTTTCCAACTTAGAATTATAGTAATATTATTATATATTTTTCCAACTTAGAATTATCCAAAGATCCAATTAAACCATTTGAAATATGGGTATAATTGTTTTTTCCAGTTCTCTGGTATTTCTCTGTCCTATTAAGATTGATTTGTCATGAACACCAGTAACTGGATTTATGTTCAGAATTTCCTGGTGACAATTTTTAAAAAATCTAAAACATCTTGCATAACTGGCTGCTACTTACATTCTTTTCGGATTTATGTATTTATTCTGTGATAAAAATACATGGGTTGAATTTTTCCCCAAATACTTGTTCCATAGTTTATTTTTTCATCTTTTTTTTTTTTTTTTTGCCTAGCATTATTGTGTTCTTAATATTTTTATTATTCCCCACAAGGAGTGTTTCAATATCACTGGAGGAGATTGGTGGTTTTTTGTTTGTTCCTAACATGCTTAATTATACATATCAATTGAGAACTCCTTATCTTTCAACTTTGCTGATTCTGATGACTAATTTTTCTTGCAATAGAAACGTCTATGTACTCCAAGCAGGAGATAAGTCTGCATCCACAGTGCAGGCAGCATTACAGTATTGCACAAGATGGCGTGACATGCGCTGACTTTGAGCTGTAGGAATTTAGCATAATCTCTGTGGGATTCAGTATGCCTCCAAATGTTCCTCGCCACTAACTAGACTCAACCATAACATGCACACTTAAGGTGAAGTAATGCATCTTTTTACATTTGTTTTGGGGATCCCTCCTTGGTACTACTGTTGTGCAGGTAAGTTGCCAGTACAAGATCACTATTTTATATTTATGTTCCAGAAGTTATAAATCTGTAACCATGAAAAAAGTTCAGTTGATTTACATTCATTTCATATATACACATTACAATCTCTCTACCTTACAGCTGGATGTTTTTACGAGTCAGATCCAATATCAGTAGAAGGTCTTCCCTTTTGGACTCCAGCCTTTTTGGATGTATCCAAGTATAAGTTCATATCTCTATGAGCCAGTGACACAGAATACAGGAAAAGGATGAAGGAAATCCTTTCTGAAAAGCTGTAATTCTTAAAAGTAGTTGGGATTCATGGTTAAACATGAGCTTTAACTCTGCAGCCAAAAGATCTCATGTGACAGAATATTGAATGAATATACAGAAACTACATGTGTATTTGTTGCTGGCACAAGTATTCCTTGAATACTGCGTCCTGATATGTTGTCTATAACAAAATTTTAAATGCTTCCATAGTTGTGTTTCTATAGAGCTATAAGAGTAACTAAGAATATGTTTATACCATGTATTCTGGCTTACTGCAATCTACTTCTACTGATTTATAAACTGAGCATTTATTATATGATCATATCAGGGCAGAACTATGTCCAAGCTAATATGCTTTCCTGTCAACATAATTTATTGTTTCAGACTTGGTTGTATACTGACACTGTTAGTTTTGTAAGTTGGAGACTCAAGCCTGTTTCTAGAATGTATGTCACAGAAATACACTGAAGAACATACAGGCTAATCACACATTCAAGGCAATTCATTCACTAGTTTACCAAATATAATTTAAATGGCTTGATTACAATCTACAGCTGTCTATACAGGGAACAAAAAGCTGGTCTCTTCAGTTAGTAGAAAAGAACAACAATAGCAGCCAAGCTGAAATATCTTTAAACTAGGAACCACGTGAATATCTTGAAACCGCTGTAGATGAGGAGTCAGGTATATGGCTGATAGTGAGAACAGTTACCCAGGATCATTAAGGAATCTTAAAATCAGCTAATAGGTATCCCTCCCATGCTCTGCTTCTAATTTGCATTGCCTTCAGTGTGATGTACATGTAACATGCGCCATGACGTAAGGTCATAGTATTCTCCCACAGCAATCTCACTCATCACTTTTTAAAAATGTACTTTTCTCTCTCAATTCCAAATCTCTGCTAACTATTCAAGAGTTCAAATGGCTTGAGCTGACATAGCAAGCAAGCTTTGTCTTGATTTGGTGTGCAGTTGTACTACACAATTCGATCTGTGGTTGTCTGCATAGTGAAAATATGCCATTAATGTGCATATTTTTAGCCTAAAGGTTTGTACTAGCACAAATACTAGTGAGTAGATGAGGGAGATTATGCTTCCAATTAAGACAGCACATTCACTTGGAAAAGTAACAAGTTCAGAAAAACAACAGTAAGACAATCAAGTCATGTAGGAAAAGGGGAGACAATAAGATTATGTAAATTTTGCAAAAATGCACTAAATCAGAAAACATTAGGACGAAGGATAAATAGAAAAATAATCATAATTGTTTGAGTGCCAGATCAGAATTTATCTTTGGGTAAGACAGACGGAAAATGAAAACAAGAGAATAGAGTCAAGTGCAATGGACTATTAAATACAAGCTTGAGAGGGTAAATTCTCAGCATAAATTGGTCTGTAAAGGTACAGACATGGATTTTCATAGCAGCTGAATGCCTGAGGTTTTATTGCACCTTATTTTGGTATCTGGTATTAGACAAAGCCTTTGTCTAATCAAGATCAAATTAAACTTCCGCTCTGGAAACATTTTGCCTTATTCTGTCCTTCATACAATGTGAGGATCAGCAGATTCTTCCATTTCTAGATTATCCCTTCAGATATTTCTGAAGACTGTCAACTATCTCGATGTCAATGTGATTAGAATTAGGCAGAACCCATACTCAGAGTGGTCATTTCTTAGGAAGTCTGCCAGAATTCAAGGGACATTATGTTTGCTACATTCTCCTGAATAAGTAACATTCCAAATAGATTAAATCCATTAAAATAATGGAGCAAATCAGGAATGTGCAATCTAATCCAATAGCTTACTATTACTGCAGCAGATGGCTGCTTGCCCAAAACTTTACATGTTATTTATAACAGCCTATAGTAATGTAACAGAAAACAGAATACACTTTTTCCTTTGCTGTTTTCACCTCCTGATTTGCTTGTCTAGGCTAGTACAAAAATCCTTAAAGGAAATATTTCTAATTTGTATAAACTGACTTATCAAAAGTACAAAAAGAAAGTACATTATATACACTAAAATGCCATTAATTTACATGATATATACAAGAGTTTTTACATTATGATTAATTTATTAGGAGGCTTAATCAAATTAATCCCATTGCTAGTACCCAAACAAGAGGGCCCACACCAAATAAACTTATGTTCCCACTAAAGTGAGGGAAAACAAGATGTCAGTCATTGTTCAGATCCCTCACAGGATAGGCAACACAGATGGAATTTCATACAAGCAAGCAATGCAAATTAAGTAGAACATTGGCTGTGGATAAAACACTAAAGAATTTTAGTTAATTTCTCTCTAAACGCACCCAAGATTAAGCAGCCCAAATGCTCTCTGGTTGTCTTTAATTTGCACAATATACTCAGTTAAAATAATAGTGCTGGTGGTGCGCAAGCACCATAGCATTACTGAATAGGTCTAATTTTTCCAGGAAAGAAACTAGATATCTACGAACTTTCTTGTGTCTATAAGGTTAGGAAGTTCATTTAACTGTTCTTCATGGGACCAGAAAAACTGATCTTCAAAGTTCCTTGAAGGCATCTTCAGGTCAAGTCCCAATGTATTTTACATTACATAAAGCCATACTGTTTCTCTCTCAAGTAATCTATAATCAGAATTGTCACAATAGAGGGAAATGCAACAAATCTCAACAAGGCATTTCTATCTATCACAAATGATAGATACAGGCTACAAAATAGCTGAGTTCTTCATGCTAGAAAATATCACTGTGTATTTGAAAAGAATAAGAACAATTAATTGTTGACTGCGAAAAACCTCAGTGCTAAAGTTAAGTTTTATCTAAAAATCCCCTCTTGCTAAAGTTGATTTTCTTTATAAGTATATAAATTGCATTATCTTCAAAAAGAAGATAACATGCACTTTCTTAAGCTCTACGGAACCATATAGCATAATAAATATCTAAAATGTAATAAGTTTTAGCAACCAAAGCTTGAATTATTTATTTTAAACATTTGGCTACTGTCTTTCCATTTATTCATACAACAACAAGTTCTCAGAATCTTAACTTCAGCTGTGCTTCAAACATTCATTGGAGATCCCCTCCTTCTCCTCCAAGGGATTCTAAATTTCTCACTCAACAAATAAGACTGTTTCTAATGTGAGATGCATTACTACTTAAACGCTCAGCAAATGAAAAGCTTTAAGATTATTTTCTATCATTGTGTACATTTTCTTACAAATGTTTAAAACGATACATATGAAATCCCATCTCTGATGCTAACACTTAAAATTTAGGTCCAGAAAGGGGGTCAGTAAGTTATGCAGTTTTCACTCATCTCACCCAGCAATATATTTTCTCAGAACTGTTTGTCAGACTTCATAAAATTTCCTTCCTACTCTAAAGATAATCTCTTTCAGTGAGTCACAACTTTCTCAATCCTCAGACAATTACTGTCTTAAACGTTATCAACACTGAAAAGATTATTCTGATTATTTTGCTAATTTCTATAGGAATTCAATGATCTATCTAACGGACAGATACTTTTCCTGAAGAGTGGCATCTGAAATTAGAAGCAGTATATTGGTAACTGTTTACTTACACTGAATAGAACAAAATGATTACAAATTCATTCACAAACGCTTCTTCATTCACTTCTATGACTGAGAGGAAGCTTAGTTAAAATATGCATCAGATAAATTAGCAGTACCACAGAGATTAATCAATAAGAAAGTCCATTTGAATGACCACGCATAAGAAAAAATTTCCTGCCTAACTGGCACTTCCAATAAGCAATATCAAGTCTTTGGACTGTTTTGTATAATAGCTTTAAGCCAAGCATTAGTCTTTGTTTTATACACAAGTAAAATGGGAAAACTTTGATCTCATCCAAGGTGCAAAGGGTTTGCTGATCTGTAGCAATGAGTCAGAAGTGAATCATCACCTGTTTTTTGGCAAAATATTTAGAACATGGACAAATCACAAGGTGAACGATAAGAATAATCTGAAACACTATGCTATCTCATCATTACTTAAAGACTCCATTGGTTTATTATTAAAGCATTTGTTTCTATTTTTCTGAAAACTCACAGACAAACCACATGATAGAAAGTTTCTGATCTGCATAGGCCTTTTAGTTTCCTTGGTTTTGCAGATATTAATATTCTGCCAGGTAATAAAGCCTGTGCATTAGAACCTACCATAGACACCAGTTGCTAACGTCTGTGATCTCTCGCAGTGCAGAAACTAAAAGATGACTCACAGTGTACAGATTCCAGAAGAAGCCTTCCAGTCAAAAACATTTGATTGTGTAGTGCACTTTTTAAAGGGTGCCTGCTGTATCACGTAGAACTGTGTGTCAATCCCTTAGGTGTATTAAACATCCATTATTCAGTATCCTGAATGAATCACAACATAGCATTTTAAGTCTGGCAATTTCTGGACAGACATTTCCATCATTGTGCCAAAGAAAAGCAGACTTACTTTACTGAAACCATTTTCTTTAGCTTAATGCTATTATTAGCAAAACAAGCAATTGTTTTTTAATCTGTTGTTTTAGAATATTAAAGATAACAGAAGTGAGACTAACCAGAAGTATTATTTCAAGCCTGAGCCAGAAGTATCTCAAAGAAGAGTAAAAATGGACAATAAAATTGAACAATTTGTCTTAATTGTTAAGACTAATGTGTATATATACATATATGTCTTGAGTTAGGAGTGGTATATCTGCTGGATTCATAAGGATTTTGGAATATGCACACTATGCCAGGAGCATCACTGCCAACTTCACTGCACTGAAATGTTTATCTTATAGTGGCTTAGTTCATTAACTTTCCATCTTGTTTCTTCTGGAATATTAGTCATTATTCTTTATCATTAAGCAGAAGACAGAATACTAATTGCTTGTGATGCCATTAAACTAAGATCAGATAGACCAGTTAAGACCAGTTAACAGACGTGTTCTTTTGCTATCATCATCTCTGAAAAGTCACAGTATGATTATTATAGCAAGTTGAAGGCTTAATTCTGGAGATTCCAATGAAGGAAAATTCTTCATTGCAAAAATGAAAGCAATTGATCATCTCATTTGCATTTACTCAGAGGTGAGAAATGTAATTGTTCAGAAACACAGTTCTGAGGAAAGCTGGAGAAAGAACACTGCCTTGATCATACTTGCTATATCTTTTAGTCAACTTCACATTTATTTTCTCCATGTTTTTTAACCATGCTAACATTTATAAGTCATAAAAAAAATCAATTTTCCTAAACTTGAATCGCTAATTCATTTATAATAGTTGTATTGTTATTAGCACTATGACTTAATTTTCATTACTATTAAACCATAAAAGTATTGTATTAAACAATACAAGTATCATGACAGTCATGTTTCCATGTTCTTTAAAATACGATGAGCTGGCTTGAAATGATAACATTTAAGTCTCTCTTTTGTATAAGTAAATATCTTTTGCATGTATATAAAATTATTTACGCCATGCCTACTTTTTATTTCCTAGTATTCATTACCTACGATGATTCTATCCTACTGTTAGTCTAGTATCAGGCTGGGATTCTTGATCTCACAATTACTAGCATAAGACACTTCAAATCTGCATCTCTCACATCTTCTGAAAAAGTTCCAGATAAAAGGGAAAGTTCTGCCTTATTAGTTTCAGGCTGTATTACTTCAAATTCCTTATATATTCTGGAAGAATCAGAAGCAAGGGCTCAACTATAAGTGCCCAGGAGAATGCACTACAGGTAGAAGTGAGCTCCTGAATTCTAATTACTTGTGGTGATTCACCTGCCACTGGTTGTGTTTGACAGCCAGTCTTGATGCCCATGAGAATGCACTCCATTCACTTGAAAAGGGTGGTTTGAAAGCAGAGTGAAGAATTTCTCTCCTCTAGCAGAACCATCTTTATTAGCAACTTGAATGAAAGACATACAGAGTAAAAAATGGTTTTAACTATCTTGCAAATAATCTTACTCAAATACTGTAAACTTGAACTCACCTGAAGAAATGTTACACCAGTCCTTCCATTTTGAGTCTTCAACTCACCATCTGACTTTGCTGTGAAGGAATAACCCAAAGGAAGAGGAAGCAAGTAGCTGTTCTTGACTGTTTAGTACCACCATGACATCAGAGGTCTCCAGAAATATAGAGGGAATTTGGCTCCTTACAGGAAACTTCATAGTGTAGTTCTGTATGTACTGTATGCGTGGGAGTAAGTAATCCAACCTATGTTGTAGAAGAGGGCAATGAGGAGATGGTAGACTATTTTGACAGGAAAGGTGCTGTGAAGGCTTTACTTAAAACTGAAAATATTGGAAATAAGGATATCTACTGTAGAAATATAGCTCAGTGTAAGCTAATTTAGCCTACTTCTTGACCAAATGAAGTATTTGCATTAGCAAATATTTTAAAGGTGTTCTGTGCACTTCTCTGTGCTCCTTAGCAAACCTTGGTAGATGTGGAATAGAAGTGTGATCACAGATCAAAATTAGTTGTAACTTCCAGTAGTCTGTCACCAGAATAAATGTGACCTGCTTTATAAGGATATGTGTTGCTGACAACAGCTCAAACAACATTCAAATAACTCTCCATCAATATTTTTGAAAGATTAGAGCACTTCAGTTGAAGTTACCTCCACTTCTGCAAACATGCCCTGAAGCAACCTTTGATGACATTAGCTCCTAGGAAAAGAGTAAGCCACGTATTATGTATGCATAAACAACAGACATTCTAAGATGTTTTTGAACACATTCACAACTAAGTGAATAAAATAAATAAATAAAATGAACAAAATAAATAAAAGGAATAAAAAATAAGAATATAAAATAAGTAAAATTAAGATAAAAAACTGATAGTAATAATGACAGCAAGGGGGAATTTGACACTGATAAGGTAAAAAAAAAAAAAGCACACCTCAGTAGTCTTTGAAAGTGATTCCTCAAACAGCTGATTAGTAGGGGGAGGAATAAAAATCTTTCTCAGTTATTTGAACTGGCCAAATGCAGAATAGATACTAAATTCTGTGAAACAGCACAAAATAATTTAGACAAGATTATCTTAGAAATGTTAAACCTTTTTCAAGCTAACTAATGTAAATGTAAACAAAAATATGCTAACATGCATTAGCAACATGTGTAGTTTTCTAATGCCATTCATCTGCACAGCATATAAATGCTTAGTATTAAAAAGTGCACTTTAAGGCTAGCTTTCTTTGTGGCTTGCATAAGGTGATTATTTACTTGCAGTTTAACTTATACATTTTTATTTTTGCCACCAGCACTACAATTACAGCGTTCCTAAAATACATATTTGTGTGAATCGTGGATTAAGTTTCTTATTTTAAAACTAAATGATCTAAAATCTACTATATACAGTGGTGTTTATCTTCCTATGAGACTTTACATGAAGCTTTCACATTCTGCTTTCCATATGTATAATTCTGGATGCAGATCAAACTTGGATGCAATATAAGCTATGTCTGTGATGGAAGAAAAGATGTAAGGCACATTAACATACACTAGCCACTTTGAAACAGTAGTTTCTATCTTTTGTAAAAAAAATCTTTAATTCTCCTAAAGTTTTACATACAAAGAATAAATGAAATAAGATCTTATTTCTTTACAATTTAATACCAGAAATCGGTGCAAGATAAAATCTATTGTGTTGTTGACTTGTTTTTTCAAACAGGAACCTGAGTACGGGCAGGAAATATAGCATTATAACTAGAAGAATAAAGTCCCTTAATAATTTAAGTAGCTGACCAGATTTTTAATGTTTTACCACAAAACAGCAAGGCAACAGATGATAATGGCCTCATATTCAATGAATACCCACTGCAAACCTGAATATTTTCTGCAAAAAAAAACAAACCATCAAATTATGCACAAGAATAAAAAGCATCATAAATAGATGCACCTGATTTTTTTTTTCTTTTTTTAAACCACAAGTATCAAAATTTAGCATTTCTGTCACAGTCCTTGGACAGTTGCTCTGAGATGACTACATTAAGCACGCAATTGCACTAAAGTAGACACCCCACAAGAGGCTTGCACTGCAACAGGAATATGGTTTTCATATAGGCACAGAATTTTTCTTATTCATGTTCAAAAACAACATGAAATACACAACTCAAGACAATATTAGAATTCATCAAACGTATCCTTGTTAGCAAAAAGTTCTTGCCACTTTGGTAACTGAAGTCACTGAATGTATCTAAAAGTTGTAGGTACCTTGAGGAAAATAAGAGTTCCATATTCAGCAAGGCAGCATTGTATCAGGATATTTTATACCAACTAAGGCATAAAGAACTTTGCATCTGGGTATACAATACTTAATTTTAGAATAAAGTTTTGTATTCTGTGTGGTGAAAGTGCATAGGAGTGGGATTCCACTGGAGCAGAAAGAATCCTCTCACAGTATTAAGGCCTTTCAATTTTAAGTGAAATGCATCAGGCTAAAGTCTGCACAGTGAAAAAAAATAGGACTTCCTATCATCATACTGAACACAACTGGAGTTTACTCAGCACGTCTTTTCTTCTCCTAGTTGCCGCTCATCTTCTTCATCAGCTTCCTCAATAACCTGAATTTCATCTGCTTGAGGTAAAGATGAGATCTCTGTTAGCAGTTCAGCTCCTTCAGCTTTTTCTTCTTCTTCAATTGCTTTCTTCCATATTTTGTGATTTTCACTGAGATGGTGTATTAGCTGACAAAATATTCTTCTACCTTTTTTTCTTTGAGCTTCTGTAAAATTTAAAGCATTATGTTTTAGTTTTTTGAGATTCAAAGAGATCACATTTTACACACACACAAAATAATGCCGTCTTGAAAAGGAGATGTAAATTTGAGCAAAAACCACAAATGCTTACTCACAGTATTTGAATAGCAACCTGGATAATAAGGATAATCACGATAGCTACAGTATTTGAACAGCGTGATTTCAACCACCATTGTTATGCCTGAATCTAGTAAAAGAAAACCTGGTACCAACTCAAGTATAAAATCTTACTTAAAATGAGATCATCTTCTATTTCTTCATCATCACTCTCCAACTGAGCTCCATCATCTTCATTACTTTCTGCATCCTCCTCTTCATCAACCCACCGCCCTGGAAGCAGTCCTGCTGCATTATAGGAATTACAAAGGGGCCCAACTATGTGAGTGATAAAAGATTCTTGCAATTTTGCAAGCTGTGGAGAAGAACGATCCATGAAAGGACTTATAGGTAATCCAAGACTTGCCTCTTCATCACCCTAAAGAAGAGATTACAAAAAAAACAGAACTTCTCAAAATATTAACTTTAAATTTTGATTTTAGAGATTAATTTTGAGGAGATAAGTAAACAAAGCTGATTGCATCTTTTTACCAAAGGCAATACTAATATAGACTAAACTAATGAAAATGTAGTTAGAACAATCATGAAAAGATATTTTAAGACTTCCACATCTCAAAATTCTCCCTTCACCTTTGCTCTCAATATCTCAAAAATTGATAGTCTGTTAGAAGTCTTCAAGTTTCTAGAAGTAATAGAAAGTGAAAGATTACATTAGTACGCTTCACATAAAAACAACTTGTCAGTATTCAGGAAAAGAAGATGGAAATACTTTATCTGACTTTATCCTGACAGGTAATAATGTTCGTATTAGTTATACATTTACTCGCATAAAGAATTGATGATCTGCTTCTAATTAAAAATATGTATACTTCCAACACCTACCTGTTCATAAAATTCATTAACAATGCCTTCTGTCCATTTCAGATGCAGCTCTCTAACTTTTGCTGGGCCATTGATATCTGCCAGTTTGATGCATATCTGACAGACAAGCAGGCGATCATTTTCATTGCTCCATTCTATACCATGACTGTCAATGTCATTGGCCTGGGTTGAGCACATAAATTTTGAAAAATTAAGTTAAAACTATTTATGGGTATTATATTTTTAGGCTCTGCACCAAGACACTTGAATTATTTTTTCTATAGACTTTTTTTTTTTTTTTTATCTTAACATAGTCAAAAAAGTCATTTTCCATCTGAAATAAGACTCGGGTCTACTACAGGTCTGCAAGGCCTACAGGCAATATAGAAACCAACATAAAATTGTTCTGTATGAAGAAAATAGCATATTTGCATTTTTAAAAACAACTCAATAATATAAAATTTTAAATACAATTGTTTAGTATCAACAAATATTCAATGGCAACACAAACATCAGTATACCACAACCAGCTCAGCGCAGGCAGTAAAATGTAACTAACCTTGGAATTAAATTCTGCAAGGAAATCAAAATGCTTCTTGAGATCTGTGGCAAGGATTGCTTCAATCACTAAGAAACGAAAACGCTTAAACTCTACGTGATCAAGATTTGATAAAAAGTTGTATTCTGGTCGTGATAAGAAAAGATTCCAGGCAGAAGCAGCGTGGTGATTTTCTAAGACTGATCTGTCATTGTAAAGAACAGCCTACAAAAGAAGAGAATCATAAATAACAGATTTGAGATTTAGAACTTAATATTCTGAAGCTTAAGGATTAGTCACTAACAAGATGGGTTTTTTTGTTGTTTTTTTGTTTTTCTTAAACTACCCAATGATGTTTTACCTTCTAGTTTTGACGGTTATAGAGAAAAAAATGGCAGGTAAGAGGAAAGAAAGCCAAGTAGTAAAAGCTTTTCTTTCTTCAAGTTCTTCAAAGGTCTTTTAAATTGATGCTTTTAGGCACACATACCTCTTAAAACAGAGACTGAACTTCTGGTAATATGTATGCGGCATACACCAACAAAAACAAAACCAAAAAACTCAAATTGTATTGGTTTCTGATTTACTATTATTGTTGTTGTCATTATACGTGCTTCTTGTTTCAAACTTCAGACATGCAAACCACCATGATCAGTAATTAGTATTTTTCTTCCTCAATCACTACTCCCCTATGCAGTTTAGATATCTTTTATTCAGTGGTTTTCCTTCCCCCCATCCCCAACTCATTTATTTTGGCTTTGCTCTATCTCACCTTATTCATCTTTCGCTTTTAGACCTGAAGAGAATTTCCTTTCTTTGAGTTGCTTTTCTAATAAAGCTGATTACAGGAGATGAAAGCAAGCATATCTTGCTGATTTTCTCCTAGTTTATTCACCCACCCTCAAAGATAATGACTGTTTCCCAAAACAGATAAATATGAAGTACAGATTTTAGGCAATGCAATTCACAGAACTAAAGAACACCTCATGTTTTTAAGGCAATTGCAGAAATCACTTTGATAGCGATAGGACTTTTCATAGGACTTGCAAAATGGGATATATCCATTAATTTAGCTGCTCAGACAGTCCCAGAGTCAGCTCTGCTTGAAATTATCTTTTACTACAATCTACATAGATTTAAGTTATTTATAGTTTTTTAAATTGAGATTTTTTTTTTAATATATGTACAATCAATACACAAAAATACATGAGAATATATCAGGAAAAAAAAAGTTACATGAGTAAATTCAAATTCATTTCTCAAAGCCTTAAATTGGGCAAATGATTCCTACACAGGCAATATAGGGATAAAGAAGAAAATAACTTTTACTAATCTCCTTGCAGATAGAAATAGTTTTCTGATTAAAACATTTCTTACCTGTGGTGCATTTGTAGCTACTAAAAAAGCATTTGTACGACCAGGATGATCATAATCGTGCATGGCAGCTGCCACATATAAAGCCATCAGTTCCAAGGCAGGAATGTTTGATGCCAGGCACCCGTAACTGTCATCAGTAACAGAACAGCTTTTTGAAGAAATATAGCTGACTTGATCAGGAGGACCACCACCAGCTTCATCTAAGAAAAAATCATATTTCTGTTTTTACATAAACCAGCAATTTTGAAGCACAATAGGAAAGGCCAGTAAGAAGTAAATTCATCATGACCGTACGTGTTGTCCAACAGGGTAGCCAAAATCTTCATGGAATTCATGGAAAGCTTTCACTATTTCAAGACATTACGCAAAGGCAACATGTTTTTGCAGGACATCCTTAAGTTTTTAAAGTGTCTCAAAACTGGAAAGTCCTAGAGCTTCTGCATTCAAACCAATTATTTACTTAGCACCAGACAGGGATATTAACATACTTTTACTCAGGCAAGTTTGCCCATTACAAGATAACTGTCATTCATACAAGTTAGAGAGATTTTGGAAAGAGCTGTTATCTGTCATAATGAGGGAAAAAAAGACAATTCTTAAAATTAATCTAATGTATTTCAAATGCTAAAAAAGGGCTGACTTTCATTTAGCATAGAAAACTTGAGCGAAACTGTTTTGTTGTCTAACAAGCCAATTCTTCTAATAACTGTTCTAAAATCAATTGCATTTTACTTCTGAATAGTATGTACTAGTATTGTCATACCACTACTGCTTTATAATAAAATATAAAAAATACTTGAGTGATAAGGATAATTAGTGGTTTTGTTCAAATGTACTGTGATGTCA